TATATAAAAAACAGCCTTAAAATGAGAGGAAAAACCCAAAAATGGGTTGGGGGGGGGTCGGAAATGTTCATTTCCCCCCCTCCTTTTTTCTCCCCGCTCCGGAGCAAAAGGGAGGGTTGGAAACGCAGGTTTTTGGGGAAGGTTTTTATTTCCCCTTGGTCGTGTCCTTTGAAGAGGGGCTGGTTCCTCCAGCAGGGAAGGAAGATCCAGGCTCCTGGCAGCAATAAATTGTCAGGAATGAGGTTGGGGGTGGAATTTGGAGGTTGGGGGGGGGGCGGAGGTGGAAAAGGGGAGGGAAAGAAGAAGAAAAGGGGGAAAGAATAAAAGAGGGAAAGAAGAAGAAAAGGGGGAAAGAATAAAAGAGGGAAAGAAGAAGAAAAGGGGGAAAGAATAAAAGAGGGAAAGAAGAAGAAAAGGGGGAAAGAATAAAAGAGGGAAAGAAGAAGAAAAGGGGGAAAGAATAAAAGAGGGAAAGAAGAAGAAAAGGGGGAAAGAATAAAAGAGGGAAAGAAGAAGAAAAGGGGGAAAGAATAAAAGAGGGAAAGAAGAAGAAAAGGGGGAAAGAATAAAAGAGGGAAAGAAGAAGAAAAGGGGGAAAGAATAAAAGAGGGAAAGAAGAAGAAAAGGGGGAAAGAATAAAAGAGGGAAAGAAGAAGAAAAGGGGGAAAGAATAAAAGAGGGAAAGAAGAAGAAAAGGGGGAAAGAATAAAAGAGGGAAAGAAGAAGAAAAGGGGGAAAGAATAAAAGAGGGAAAGAAGAAGAAAAGGGGGAAAGAATAAAAGAGGGAAAGAAGAAGAAAAGGGGGAAAGAATAAAAGAGGGAAAGAAGAAGAAAAGGGGGAAAGAATAAAAGAGGGAAAGAAGAAGAAAAGGGGGAAAGAATAAAAGAGGGAAAGAAGAAGAAAAGGGGGAAAGAATAAAAGAGGGAAAGAAGAAGAAAAGGGGGAAAGAATAAAAGAGGGAAAGAAGAAGAAAAGGGGGAAAGAATAAAAGAGGGAAAGAAGAAGAAAAGGGGGAAAGAATAAAAGAGGGAAAGAAGAAGAAAAGGGGGAAAGAATAAAAGAGGGAAAGAAGAAGAAAAGGGGGAAAGAATAAAAGAGGGAAAGAAGAAGAAAAGGGGGAAAGAATAAAAGAGGGAAAGAAGAAGAAAAGGGGGAAAGAATAAAAGAGGGAAAGAAGAAGAAAAGGGGGAAAGAATAAAAGAGGGAAAGAAGAAGAAAAGGGGGAAAGAATAAAAGAGGGAAAGAAGAAGAAAAGGGGGAAAGAATAAAAGAGGGAAAGAAGAAGAAAAGGGGGAAAGAATAAAAGAGGGAAAGAAGAAGAAAAGGGGGAAAGAATAAAAGAGGGAAAGAAGAAGAAAAGGGGGAAAGAATAAAAGAGGGAAAGAAGAAGAAAAGGGGGAAAGAATAAAAGAGGGAAAGAAGAAGAAAAGGGGGAAAGAATAAAAGAGGGAAAGAAGAAGAAAAGGGGGAAAGAATAAAAGAGGGAAAGAAGAAGAAAAGGGGGAAAGAAGCAAAGAGGGAAAGAAGAAGAAAAGAGAGGGAAAGAAGAAGAAGGAAAGAGAGGGAAAGAAGAAGGAAAGAAGAAAAGAGAGGGAAAGAAGAAAAGAGAAGGAAAGAAGAAGGAAAAAAGAGGAAAAAAGAGGGATAAAAAGAAGAAGGAATAAAAGAGGGAGGGAGAGGAAGGAAAAAGAGAAGGGGAAATAAGAAAAATCAGAGGGGAAAAAAGAGGGGGAAAGAGAAGAAGAAAAAGCGGGGGGAGAAAGGGGGAAAAAAAGGAGAAAAAATCAAAGAGGGGGAAAAAAGAAGGGGAAAAAATTCCCCCTCCCCAAATTTCCTCTTCGCCCCCCACCCCCGTCTGGGGTTGTTTTTTTTTTCCCCTTTTGGTTGGTTTATTATTCTCCTCATCCTTTTCTTTCCCTCCCCTCCTCCGCCATGAGTTCTTCCTTGGCCAATTCGTTTTACAAGGCGAGTCCCCCCGTTCCTGCCTATTCCATGCAAAGTTATGGAAATTATGGAAGTGTCCCCGAGGTTCAGTCCCCCAGGTACCGCTTGGATCTGAGCATCCCCCTCCCCTCCTCCGGGGCTCCCACCTCCCTGAGCGGCTTGGCCATGTCTGCGACCCCCCCATCTAACCCCGAGCGACCTTCCTGCACGGTCATGGGTTCTTCAGGGCATCCTTTAACCAGAGACGATCAAGCAGCCCTAAATCCCGGGATTTACAGGCAGAACAGTGGGAACGCGACGCTGGACGAGAGATCTAAGAGCTCGGCTGAAATCAAAGCCGAACCCGTTCAAACAGCACAACCAGGAGCACCACAACTCCAGAAGGAGCAGCAGCAACAACCTCCACCGATTTACCCCTGGATGACCAAACTACACATGAGCCATGGTAAAAAAAAACTTTCCCTTCTTTTTTCTTTTTAGGATTTCCCCCCCCCCTCCCCTTTTTCCCCTTCCCCTTTAGGTTTTTATAGGCCATACGGGGCAAATAATAAAAAACCTGAGGTCGTAAATTTTACGACTAAGGCATCAATTGCTCGTAAAACTGTCCACTAAAAGGCTTAGAGGCTCTATCCGCCCAAATTTATGGCGGCATAATTGGATCATAGAAACAAAACGTGTATAAAAGGCAATATTCCATTTTTTTTTGGGAAGGGGGGGTTAAAAATAACTCGAAATTCACACCTTCTTGGGAGGGTGAGCTTTAAAAAACGGCACTAGAGGCGAAAGGGAAGGAAAGAGGGTTTTGTTCCCCCCCCCTTCGCCTTCTCAGGGGTGAGAGAGGAGGGAAAAAATAAGGGCAAGATTCCCCAAGAAAAGATATTTCCCTCCTTTCCACATTTCCTTGTTGTCCGAGAGGAAACAGGTTCGTTTCCCTCATCTCCATGTGTTTGATCTGAGCCTTTAGGAGGGAAGAGGAAGGGATTTGGGGCGCTGGAAATACTGGGGGATGAAAGATTTGAGGCCACTTCGTGCCCACAACCCCAGGAAACTTCTGCCTGACTTAGATTTATAACCGGGTTTTAAAAAAAACACATCAATAAAATCACATTTCAGCATGTTTGGCTTTTCATGCGGGGTCTTGATTTTAGTATGATTATAAATACATTTATTTTTTGTTTATCCCCAGAAACGGATGGGAAACGTTCCCGAACCAGTTACACCCGTTACCAAACTCTGGAACTAGAGAAAGAATTTCATTTTAACAGATACCTGACCCGGAGGAGGCGGATTGAAATCGCCAACAACCTCTGCCTGAACGAGAGACAAATCAAAATCTGGTTTCAAAACCGGAGGATGAAGTGGAAGAAAGATTCCAAGTTGAAAAGCAAAGAGGCTCTTTAGGTGGGATGGCAGGAGGTGTTGGGGGAGGGTTTGGGGAGGGGAATCGTCCCCCCCTCCTGCTTTTATTTTGATTTTTTTGCCTTCTCTTTTGGGTTGTTTTATGTCTGTGTCTGTGTGGTCTTTGATTTTGGCTTTTCCGTCGCTTCTGGGTGGAAGAACCTTGAGGGGACTTGGGTTGGTTTTTGGGGGGTGAGGAGGTGGATGGATCCTGGTTTGTAACCCTCAGACAAAGGAAATATATGATGAGGATGCCAAAAAATAATAATAATAATAAGAGGGGGTGGGAAAACCACCCCCAGCACCCCCACCCTAAAACTCTGCTCTTGGCTTCGTGCGGAAATTTAATGGCTCGTTCTTTAGGTTGTTACTTCAATGTCCTAAACCTGAGGTTGAAAATCACCGGGAAACTAAAAAAAAACAACCCCAAACCGGTCCAAAAGGCTGTAAAAAAACCCCAGTACAAGCGTGGGGGGTGGATGGTGTCGTCTCACCTTTGAAAATCGCGATATTCGGGGGGAAAAGAAGGAGGGAAGGGCTGGAAAAGGGGGGAAAAAAGGAAAATCAGGGGGAAATCGGCCCCCAAATCTTGAGTTTTGGGGAAGCGCCTTCGCCCTGTCGGGGAAAATGGGAATTTGGGGTGGGTTTTGGTGGGAATTTGCCCGTGGAAAATGCGCTGGCACCTTCGTTTCGTCTCCCACCCCCTTCCCAGCCCGAAGGAAAAATTTGAGGGGGTTTGAAACCCTTAAAATCCACTTGTAGAACTTGGGGG